TGCAACACTTTATTATGGGACCACTTTGTTTAACTTAGTGAAGAACTGAACAACTTTCTATAAACTAGAGACTGGCTATTAAACAGATATCAGATTCCAGATGATGTTAGAGTCTGCTTATAATATTGCAGAGTTATTCGTATGTATTACATTATACCGATTACAGTGTCTTTCTCCATACTTTAAACACCTAACGCCTGAATCTGAATGCTTTAAATAGCTTGACATTTACTGTACCCGTTTTCTCTGCAGCTTTTAGTGCTAGGGTATATATGGCATTTAAAAAAAATTGTAAAAGATATTTTAGCAGCTCATTTATGGTATTTATTGCTGTTAAATACCTTAAGCTGTTCAGTGGAAATTTGGGAGGAGTGGATTATAAGCATTTGCAAGGATTATAATTTTATTACTTATTTTGTAGAGGCCAATCCCTTCACCTATTCTTTACATATGGGGCCAAACTGCTCAGATTATATGAAACCACTAATTTGGGCGGGTGAGTGGGTAGATATAAAAAAGCAGTACAGTTTTATACTACCTTTCAAATATATATATTTTATGTGAAATACTGTTCTTTAAAAAAACAAAATAATAGGCAGACAGAGCCTTCTAGGCATAACCTGAATAAACTCAGGAAAGTATGGGCATCAATTTTTTGCCCCTCGCTCTGAAAACAAATGAAAACATTTAAGCCAAACACTCAAAAAAAGCACACAATTCTGCAAATGTATAAATATTCAAAGGGATTGCCTCCTAAAGTTTACACAAGATAACAAATGATCTTCAACTTGTGCCTTGTGTTGCTATCCACAGAAGGCCCCATTTGTAATTAAGAGGAAATACTGGACAAAGTTCTGAATGCAAAATTATGGAAGATATTCCAGTTTGCAATTATACATAAACTAAGACAGTTCATATATTCATTTTTCTTCATAATTTTATTTTCTTTCATAGGCAGATACAATTCACATATATGATAACGATAGGGGTTTTTTCCCCCACATTGCCTAATTCTTAGAGTCTGCATTAAACTTCACTCATTATCTTAAAATTTTAAATCGCAGATGAAGAAACTTTTTGTGTGTCTCCCATTATTCGGCTCAATTTCATCTGACAATTTCCTAATGAATTTCATTTCATAACTTTTAATTTTTATGCCATTTTGAAATATCTAATAACTGAACTATGATTGCGTAACAACATAGATTTAAATATGAATATATCTATTTTTAATACAATTTGGGCAAAGATATCAACTAACAAGAAGTAAACAATGTGCCAATCAAGGAACTACAAACTCAGACAAACGAGCTAACAGTAAATAATAGCCTAATCAAGGAATTAAGATCACTCCCATTAGTTTATAAAATAGAGAAAATTCTACTCCGTTTTAGCACTGATGACGTTACCTAGTTCGGTGATGAAACATCTGCAAGAAAACAACCAAGCTCAGAGAACCCCAAGACCCCACAAATGTTCTCTTCTATCGAAGACATAATTAAAAAAATGTATTTCATCCAACTCACATTACCTGCTTGCTCTTCTCAATGATACAAACCTGACAATGCCACAATAAAGACTGAAGGGATTTTTCTATTTCTAATGCAGATGATTAAAAGATTTGCTGATACATATCAAACTGCTAGCTATAAGGAGGCTAGGTTCTAAAAAAAAGCCTTTATGGCTCTTGTAGAAAGGTTAATATAAAAACAATATTCTAGTGTTTAATGTTTCTTTGGCCCTGCCATCTATCCCCCTCAAGTCCAAATTCTTTTCTTTGAGCTATGACTTTGTAAGACAAGAACTTTTACCTGTAAAATCAGCAAGTTTTCATCACTGGCTGCTTTCTTAAACAAAGAGATTGCTTAAGAGTGATAGCGGTCTATATTGACAGCCATGCTGCATACATTTTAGTGTTTGATGCCAGATTTATGACCACCACAGAAGACACACACCAGTTTTTCCATTAAACCAAGAATCCTAGTTTCTATATCAGAAAACACACCTATAAGAGCTTCAAAGAACTCAGTAGATAGGAACGGTGGCCATGCCACGACAGTCCAAGTAGTCCTCGACTTACAACAGTTCATTTAGTGACCAAAGTTACAATGGCACGGGAAAAAGCGATTTATGCCCATTTTTCACATTTATGGCCGTTGCGGCATCCCCACAGTCACGTGATCCAAATTCGGATGTTTGTGTCCCAGAGTCATGTGATCAACCTTTGTGACCTTCTGACAAGCAAAGTCAATGGGGAAGAGCCAGATTCACTTAACAATGTGTTGCTAACTTAACAACTGCAGCGATTCTCTTAACAACTGTGGGAGGAAAGGTGATAAAATGGGACAAAATTCACTTAACAAATGCTTCATTTAGCAACAGAAATTTTGGATTCAATTGTGGTGGTAACCTGAGGACGCCCTGTATCTAGCAACATTTAGAAATGAGAGGGCATCCTTACTTCTTTAACTCCATGCTGTTAACTCCAACCCTCCCAACCACTAATTGTAAGTCCATTAGAAGGTAAAAAGACAAAGTACATATTGTTGGACGTGAGGATTAACACATCTTTTTCTCTCTCACTCCCACTCCCTCGTGTACATTTTTTATCTTTTATAGCTACAAGCATATCCTTGCAATCTCTGGATAATGCCAACTGGAATCTCTGATGATGCCGGATAGAAACTCTTAGTCATTTTTTCCAGTGCTCAGGACCCAAGTCATTTGCAATTTCCTTCCCTTTCTCAAGACTTGTAAAACCCACAGCACTTTGTAAGGCAGTGAAAATAAATCACGTTTAGCCAATGCATGTGCAGCTCTATAATGGTGCCTCCATAAGGGTCATTACCATTCCATAAAGGCTCCCGGGTTTCGTACTAGGAGGAATTCAGCAGCAAGATACACTAAAAGACTAAAGGAATAAATGTTGGTCCATAAAGAGCAAGGCTCCCAGCGAGCCACAAATGAAGAGGAACACCCAGAGAGCCTTTGCAACATGTGCCCAAAGCAACACTAAGTCACTAGCTGGATCTGACCGGTGTAGGATTATGTCATCGTGTCTATCCCACAGTCTCCAAAGAAGGGAAAAGCCCACTTTTCTCAGCTCCCCACTGGGATTTCAGAATTTTTACACAAGCTGCCAAGTATCAATTCGAGACCACAAGAGACAGGACAAAATGTTTTTAAATGGGAGTGAGAAAAATCTCAGAGCACCAAGACAGAAAGAAGCAGCTGGCAGCCCGTGGACGTAGTCAGAGCCCCAGGAGGAATGCTGGGTGACCTCCCGGCTGCTAACCCACTCTCTGCTTCTGGATGCAACTCTGCAACAGGGAAGGGAACAGCAGGCCCAGGCACAAACAGTTCCCTTTTGGACTTCAGCAAGCTGTCAGGGCAAGCCAAGATCCCCATCTGAAAACAGGGCTCGGATTTGCCAGGAGAACTTATCTTCCGTTAGCACCTACGCATCCCACTCTCACAATGCAGACAGCTACCCTTTCTTTGGCTTGCCAATGCCGCACTTCAGAGTATGAGTCTAAATTGTCATCTTGGATAGCAGCCAATGTATTGGCAGCCAACCCACTTCTTTCTCTTATCATAAGGTAGCTGCTCCATCAACAGTGTTGAGCTGCAGAGAATGTAATACACAATGAGAACCACAGGCCCCATGGAGCTGCATGCAGAAAACCAGGAACGTGCTCTGGCTGTTTCACTGTGTGCGTTCCACAATACTTCGAAACCGTGCATGAGAGGCCCTGATTGATCCTTCTGCTGGTCTAGGCATGACAAGAGCCAACAAAAGTCATGCTGTTGCCTAGATGGCCAACTCCCCTGAAGTTATTTATGTCTTTCCCCGGAGCATAAAAATCCCCTCCCCCCTCAAGATTCGTATGGAGATTTCATCCTTAGCTCTTATGACTAATGAGGGAGGCCTACAACTACATGCTTCAATCTCTTCACCCTTAAGAAGTGTTTTTTCTATTCAAAGTCCCAGTCACTCTGAACAGAAACCTGACATGCTGCTCAGATCAGCTAAGGTGAGGAGGGGGAGGAGAATGAATGCAAGTGGAAGAGAAGGAGACAAAGTGATTGGGACTCAGCCTTCGTGGTTTCATCTTCTGACAGGGAACTCGGCTCAAAATGGGACTGGCTGTGCCATTTCCCCACCTTATGCCTTTCTCTACTACACTGTATAGCAGGGGCCTTCAAACTTGGCCCTTTTATGACTTGTGGACTTCAACTCCCAGAATTTCTCAGTCAGGCAAGCTGGCTGGGGAATTCTGGGAGTTGAAGTCCACAAGTCATAAAAGGGCCAAGTTTGAAGACCCCTGCTGTATAGAATCGCAAGCCTCCCAGAATCACTTGGCTGAGATGAGCAGCTACAGAAATGGAATAAATGAATGAATGAACAAACAAAGGAATAGACTTAAGTTTGGGAAGAGTTGCCAGCTCTGACTTGCAAGAAAATGGGGGTGGCATACTCTGAAGGCAAAAATAAAAAATAAAAATGCATCCTTTTTTCTTACTTGCCATCAGACTCTTTCCTCTGTAGTGAAGAGAACAGAGTTTTTCCCCTTAACTATGCAGCATCTTCCACTGCCTCCAAGATACTTAGTACTGTACACACAAAGCAGGCCTTAAGCAGAGAAACTGTTGATGCCAAATCACAGAATATACCTCAAAAGTTAATTTTAAGTAAGCTTCAGCACACAACACTTTCCTTCTGATATTTCTGTCTTTGTTGTTTCCTCAGGAACAAAACCCCCCATCACCAAGAATACATTCTGAACCACTGAATGTAAAAATGCTAACAAAAAAATAACCCATTTTCCTTTTCTAGAGATCAAAGATCATGTGGATGATAACATGTTGAAGGATGAGCACTCTCATGCTCACAAATACAAAACAATATACTCCAGTGGATTTTTTTACTCAAGGGCCACAGTAAAACTCCCACCCCAGGTTCTGGCATTCTGTTTCCTTCCCCAAAGATGCTCACTCACTGTGCCGCAGACTTTCACGTCATGCAGTCGTCCCCATTCATCCTCATAGCTATCCACCATCATAATGCTGTCATCTTCTTCTTCACTGCCCAGCTCTGCATGGAGATGGAGCCGGACTTCTTCACCCAGTGAATGCATCCCTACGGCTGGGAAGAGACCTTCTGGTGAGAGTGGCATTATTGTTGAGCCCACCTGTTAAGAGGAGGCAACAGTTACATAGATTAGATCAGTTTAATCTATCTAGGTAATCATACCAAAAAGCCATTCTACAGACTGTACAGAATGAAGTAGCAGAATTAGCTGGCAGAGATCTTGGGTTGTACCATTCTGGACTGCAAGTGGAGGGGGAGAAACATAATTTGAATTCTTTCATCCAATTAAAAAAGAAAGATGCAGATTTTTTTTTTCCTGGTGCAGCAAGTTTCTTATACCTAGTCCTTCTGAGTGTGAAACTATTTTAAAAAATGCAAACTAACTCATTATTTACAGGAAATCCTGGATCAAATAAAATCTTAGTCATGTTTTTAAGTGAATTACTTTGGGGAAGTCATTCAGTTTATTGGGGTGGAGGTGGGAACATGCTCATCTCTCATTTATGTTCTCTGTTCACTTATCCTCTCAACTATTTCACTTGGAGTATAAGATAAGGTACATGAGATTCCCAGGCAGCTGTCCCATCAAAACACCAAACCCAACCTACATATCCTTTGGTTTAGCAACATTGCTGCAGTAGGTGCCTTCAGTGCAATAGCAATAGCACTTAGTCTTGTATACCACTTCAGAGTGCTTTACAGCCCTCTCTGAGCAGTTTACAGAGTCAGCATATTACCTCCCAACACTCTGGGTCATTTTACTGACTTCAGAAAGATGGCAAGCTGAGTCAGAACTTACCCTTTTTCCATTTTTGGTGAAGAATATCTGTGCTGTCTGGACTTCAAAGGACACTGGCTCAATCCCACAGCCTATCCGGTCCCCAGAATTGCATTTTGTCCCAAATTGACGTCCCTTGGCTCGACCATTGTAAAGTCTGGATAAGGAAAATCTCAAGTAAAATCTCTGTAAATCTCACAGAGAACTTTAAACAACTAATCAACAATATGCTAATGTGATATGATGCTCAATTAACAATAGTATAATTAGGTCTGCTTTATAATCCTAGAGAAGATGCCCCTAGTTTGACAGCCACAAATCTATTTCATCTTGTTTTTCAAAAGTTGGAATACTATTTTCTATTCCAGTTTCTTACACATTCACATGATAAAACATACGTACACACAAACACACATACACACACACACACATAAAATCTCTATTCTCTGCTAAATGCAGACAGTTGTCATGTATGCACTTTAAAACCATGGATCTTGTAGAGACTCACAGTTCTCATCCACGTTTAGGCAGTCCAGCCAGTGATCATCAAAGTGGTAAGCCAATATTTAACTGACTGTGGTTTCTTTAACTGAGGTACAGCCTGACATATTCCTTACACCTAAAGCAACATACACAGGAGGAGTGTTATGTCTGGTCTGCCAAGCTTGTTAACTTACTTGCCATCATCAGCATGATAGGCAACTGAATGCGGTAGCCATCCAGGCTGATGGTCCAAACTGTAATACTGAGGCACCAGCCCTACTGCAATGGTCCCACGCACACCACTGTCCACAATTGATACCTAGAACAAGTTGAAAGAATGGATGCATCAAAACCTTTCACCCAGGCAATTTTTTCCAAGGATGATGACTATGTCTTTACAAAACATGAAGCCAAGGACTGAATATATCTCTTGTTTTACTAATTGCCTGAACAAAATCCAAGGATAAATAAGATAATGTAATACATCCATCTCATTTGTCCCACCGAGGCAGGAAAGTAGTATTTAAAAGAATGAACTGTAAGCCCAAAAGTTCCCAGGACAACCTTTCTTGACATGAACTCTATAGCTGCTTTAAGCTACATCACTCAACCTCTCCATTAAAGTACCCTTTGTTCTTAATCCTTACTAGAAACCTTGTGCATACCTATATAATTCTGATTTTGCAGAGGGTTTCTAGAAAGGATTCCAGATGGCAAGCATATAAATTAATTGAAAAGTAATTTAATGCATTTTTTAAAACTCGAGAGATAATTTAGGACAACCTCTGTAAACCCGTTAGGTGGCATGCTGGTTACAATTAACAAGAAGCCAGACAGAAGGCATCAAGGTGTGGAATGTTTGTATAAAGGCTAAGAGAATATATTTTGATTAGCTGTTTTCCACATTATTTAGAACCATCTCCCCTGCACCTCTTTGCTCATGAGATCTACAAAGCAGACTTCTAAATACTAGAGATGGATTCACAACCCAATATAGTGTTCCCATTTTCATGGTAGCCAACTGCTTTGTTAGAAGTTAGAAGTTCAGTATTCATGCACAGTGGCTTATTATACAAGGAAATTATTGAACAAGGAAGTTATTTCCTTCCAACTTTCTTGCTCAACAAAATTAACTTTCCAATTCTTCTAGGAAACCTTTTTCCTGATGATTTCCAACTATACTGGAGTTATATCTCAAAGCATTCCCAATTGTCCCACTAAGTTGGGAATTCCAGGAGCGTATTTCTGACACATCTGGAAAGTCTCAGGTTGCAAAAACCTACCTTCAATACTGATTTATAGCTAGGGAAAAGCTGGAGAAAAGTTTCCTGAAACATTAGCAGTCTACATAAAAATTCACTGTCCAAGAGAAGATTCATAAAATATTTGAGCTTTGCAGCTCATCTGGTCCGAGGCTGCACAACCATTTTGGGCCAAGAGCTATTGAGTGACAGATCACAAGATATATCCCCAAATGTTGACAGAACCAGGAGAAAAAAAAAACCTTTCAATTATATTCTGCTAAATTTAATTTAGCTGAATGAACTAAATATAATTCAAAGATTTGCTCCTTTATATTTAGCAATGTTTCTCTTCTATCTCATTAAAAAAATGAAAAAAAAATATTACCCACAATCAAAGACAATCTATTCTACAAATATCTCCTCTTGTTGGAAGATCTTTTAAAATTAATCTGTTTAGCAAAACTCTGCCTCTGTATAACCAGTATCAAATAGTTCTAAGTTTTCTCTCTCAAGTAATAAAAAGAGAAGGAAGGGCAGCATGTCGGAGAGGGTCTCCACTAAGAGTAATGTTGAAAGAGACTTCCCAGATGGTGAGCCAAACTGGTTACCTCAAAATAATTGTTGTCTTTGGTCAACGGACGAGGAGCAACGTAACAACCAACTTCTCCAGAGTTTCCATGGTAACTGCAGAAAAGATACAAAGGTTCTCCAATACTCAAACCAAAATGTATGACATTACAAAAGGACAAAAGAAAAGACCAGAATAGATACCCGATGCCAAGGAAGATACAAACTCTAGGCCAAGGGGTCTTCAAACATGGCCCTTTTATGACTTGTGAACTTCAACTCCCAGAATTCCTCAGCCAGCATGCCTGGCTGAGGAATTCTGGGAGTTGGAAGTCCACAAGTCATAAAAGGGCCAAGTTTGAAGACTCCTGCTCTAGGCTATAGATAATTAATCTTCAGGGCTCAACATTCTGCCCTCCCCTAAAAAATATTCATATTTAACTGGCCAGAAGTACCTTCAAGAGAAAACAAATAACATTCTAGCCTAGGGATGCTTAGTGATCCTCAATATTTGGTTTCCGAGGTTTCTGTGCTTAATAGCAACAAGAGGAATTAATCTCTCCCGAAGTCATTTCGGACAGATAATGGGAACCAGAATTCGCCAATTCTTTTTTTTTAAAAAAAAGATTTGCAGCTTTTTAGATAACAGTTTGGAATCAAAAGTCTAATGGGATTCAAAAATCTCTCTTTGAGGGAGATGAGCAGTTCAGAAATGTGAAAAATAAAATAAATATATCTTGTGTCATACTCATATGCCAATATAAGCACTAAGATTCCCAGTAGAATTTAATTATCCGAAGAATGGCAAGAAAAGGAGCACAATTAAGCATTCCATCATCCTTGCAAAAGATGGGATAACACACACCCTTCCCCAATTAATGTTGCTGTTGTAAAATGACTGTAAACAAGATCTCACAAAAACTAACTAGCAAAGAGGGCTGTTAATGGTTGCTACCTCTGATTTAAAACTACATAATTCACATTGCTCAAACACATACATACATAATATGAGTGTATATACTCATATGCAAAAACCCAGCAAAGAAATGCAAAATTAAACCATGGAATACTTATTATAATTTGAAACACTTATCTTCTTTCATTAGGATAAAAGAACGCTTGTAGGCATTATTTTAACAGCCTTTATGTTAGTTTATTATGGTCACATTATGGAGGGGGATCAGCTGCTTGGACTAGTCTCTGCAGTTGTCTTTGCAGCATTTTAGGAAGTCACAAGAATGATTGGGCCCAAGGTCATCCAGCTGGCTTTGTGCCTAAGGCAGGACTAGAACTCATGGTCACCCCATTTCTAGCCCCAGGCCTTAATCACTACACCAAACTAGCTCTTATTAGGGTCACTAAAGTTAAAGATGCTTTGGAGGTTAGCCAACCTATTAAAGAAATATGAAATGATATGCATCTTCAAAATCAAATCCACATTTTGGTCAGGAGATTAAAATATTCTGAAATCATTGTTGTAAGTAATGCTATTCAAGCAGTTAAAATAATTTTTTGAATGCAACTATAAAACATTCTTTGTCTTTAATTGCTCAGTCACTTCAAAAAACTGTAAACATTAAGCCTTCTTTCAGAAAAAGGAGACATTCTAAATGTGCTTGAGTAATAAAATATGTACTCTCCCTATGCTGAGCACTCTCTGCTCTTCATTTAAATATTTGAGACATCCCTCATTCAAGTTTCTTTCAACATTCAAACATCACAAACTACCTTAATGTGTCTCCATCAACAAGGATATGCTTGAACCTCTCTTGGTAACGAATGGCTCGCACTTCTCGAATCTCCCGGATCCTCCTCCTCCAGTTTAAAAATCTGTAGTGCAGGTTTAAATCATCCATTATAGCTGTAACGATCTACCTATGGGAAATGAGTGTGTTTAAACATCTGAAGAAATGGCACAACACATTCCAGAATCCGGAGATTCTAGCCAGGTTGTTATAAAACTTGGCTTTATTATGGCCAACTCCAATATCCCTTGACCTTATAGAAATAAGCAAGCTAGACCACTCAGATGCTTTAGGCCAGGGGTCTTCAAACTTGGCCCTTTTATGACTTGTGGACTTCAACTCCCAGAATTCCTCAGCCAGCATGCCTGGCTGAGGAATTCTGGGAGTTGAAGTCCACAAGTTATAAAAGGGCCAAGTTTGAAGACCCCTGCTTTAGGCCAGCAGCCCCCAACCTTTTGGGACCGGTTCCATAGAGAGGTTTTTCCGTGGACCAGAAAGCGCGTGGTATTGCGTGCTGCCTGCTTCCCACAGATGGGGCTTTGTTTGTTTGCACGGCCCAGTTTCTGGCATGCCTTGGTACTAGTCCACAGACTGGGGGTTGGAGATCCCTGCTTTGGGCTACAACCCTGAGAAGCTCTGATCACTCACAGTGGGGGCTATGGCTACCTAAGATATCTCAAGGATTTCAATCTAATGTACTTGGTGGTAATATCAAGCTTGTATATAACCAAAATAAATTCAATACTCATTGATCCATGAAGATTCTCAATTAGATATAGATTAATAGATTTTGATTCTACTATCCCAGTTCAGTCAGCCTCCAATAATCACGACTGACACAATATATTTTTGAGGGATTATTCTAATCAGTACTATAAATATCAAGTTCTGTAATGTTACAAAAACAGATATAAGTTGCACATTTTCTAAGTATATTTAGTTATAAAACCTGTTTGGGGATAAATTACTTTTCAAAATCTTGCCACTTGTATAATTTGCTTTTCTTTGCCATCAAGATTGCTCCCATTTCAGCATTTCATTTTATATTAACCTAGTGAAATGAGAATATTTGTTATTATTATACACTCTAAGATCAATAGAATGATGCTTAAAAATATGCACAAAAGCAAGGTAGGATCCCCAGGAAATAAATCAATGCCATTCAGAGACTTCCATGGAAAACCATGAATTTTATTTAGGTCTTCCTGGTCCACAGTTAGCATTTCAACTAGGCCAAATATTGTCTCGTAATATCTTAGAGCTTGGCCAGTCCAGACTCAACTTTTTCCCTGCTCCATGTCTTTACACCTACATTTGAAAAGTTACCTGTCAGTTTTGTTTGAGTCCTATATGCAGCTGTTAAGATCTGTCTATTCCTAGCTATAACACTACTTAGACCGGGGCATGAAAACTTTTGAAAATTAGAAACTGAATAACTTGGGAGTGAGGCTGCAATAGGCAAAGCAATATGATGAAGTCCATCTGGCAGGTCCATATCAGACATCCAGAAACTTTTCCAGATTTTGTGAGAGCTTTTTTTCTTTTAAAATGTGGCAAGTCTAATAGTGGCACAACTTTTTTCAACTTCAAATGGCAAGAAATTGCACTTCCAGTTTTCAGCAAGCAACTGAAATGTGGCAGCTTGTTAGGATGGCTCTACAAGCCCCTCCAAAAAAGAGGCCTCAGGAGCCACATGTGGCCTTCTTCCACCCTAGAAGTAGAAATCTTTTTCCTCTTACAGAAATAAGTTGTCCATCTAATTCAATATTGTTGAGAGCTGACTAATGAATGGCAGTATTTCTTATAAGAATTCTTCCAATCTTATCTGGACTAAACTTATTCTACATATAGTACAAAGTCCACCAACGTCATCTAATTATACTTTCTCTTCCTGCACCAACTGTTTTTTTTTTCCTAGCATAATCAAATTCTTCCCTATTAGCTTGGCTAGCTTAGGTTTTAGGAACTAAGTAGAGCAAAACTGGAAGCCATCTTAAATTTGCTTTGTAAAAATCCAGCTGACCACTAGATGGGAGCAACCGGTTCAAATTGCTGTCTCTTTGCTGCCATTTAGTGGTCCTCCAGATGTTTGCAGCTAACATGTGGTAGCTCTATCTTTCAGTCAGCAGGTGACAGTAATCCTATGATACAAGCAGTGCTTTTTTTTCTATAAAAAAAAAAAGGTGCCAGAACTCACACACATCATACAACCTGCCTTGCCTACCCTACAAGGTTTCATCCAAAAAAGGTGCCGGAACTCCGTTCTGGGCGTTCTATGAGAAAAAAAGCCCTGGATACAAGAGTATTATTATAGTAGTTAGAACAGTAATGGGGGTACACTACAATTAACTTCATTAAAATCTCTCTTTTTTTTGGCTAGAAAGTTCAACCATATGGCCTTATGGTGGTCTGTATTTCTTCACCAAATTTATCTCCTGTTATGAAACTAAAATGTCACCTTAAATTCCCTGGAAGAGAAAAAAGAAGAAGAAATGAAATTAATTCAACACACCCATTATACCCTATTTTCACTCATTCTAATCCCGGGGTTTCCGTTGCTGCCTTCGGAGCGCCAAGTGCTGAACGTACAGCGTAGCAAGGGAAACAGTGCCTCTGAGAACATTCAGAAGGTCTGCTCCGATCATTAAATACAATCCGGGGATTCCAAGGAGGAAAAGGACTCGTGTCAGCCCCCTTACACCATTTTTTTTTTTTTTTTTTTGCCTATTAGGAAAATGACTCTCCCCCCTCCTCCCGCCGGCCATCGCTTTCCACAGCTGTCCGGCATTCAAATCCAGAGCAAACCGTGACCCTCACCCTTCACAGCCAGCCTCTCACGCCCTCGCCGACATCCTGGAGCCGTGAGGAGCTGCTCCACCGCCCCTGCACAAGATGCCTCCCCGGGGACCCCGCGCTCCCTGCTGCCCCGAACCGTCGCTCCGATGCCCAAGGCGGCCCTTACCCCGAGAGGCCCTGGCGCTCCCTCCATCAGCCCCGCCCTCCGCAGCCTCGCTTCTCCCGCGGCTATTAACTCAGCCGCTTCCCGGCTAGGTTGACTTGCCACCCTGTTCACATCCGGGCTTCCAGCTTTCCCCGCCCTTTCTCCCGCCTATACCGCGTGCTCGGCCAACCTCCAAGCCGCTATCGCCGCGCCCGATCGCCGCCGGAAGCCAATGAGAAGCTTGAGGAGGGCGCGTTGTCTCGCCTCCCGGAACTCGCGAAGGAAGTTAGTGAATGGGGGGCGGCGAGGGAAGCTGTGCGGAAGGTATGAATGGAGAGCGGGTGACGCCGTTCTACGGGGGCGGGAGGGTCGGCCCGCCGAGCTCGCCTGTGTGACGTAAGGGAAAGGCGGCGGAGCGGTGGCCAGAGGTTCCTGAATGGCAACAGGGTGGAGAGCGGGGGGGGGGGGCTGAATTCACCTCGCTCCTTCTAGGTGTATTACTTTATCTTCCGACAACGCCATTGGCTGGGGAAGATTAAAAATCTGCACCCGGGGGGGGGGTGCCTGGCACAGGTTACCTAAGGACTATCGTATTGTCACCTATTCTAAAAATCTGTTTCTCATGTTATATATAGAGCATGTCTTTGTCACAGGCTCATATCGAGCCATGTGATACGGAGAGCAGCGGAGGCTCTTAATCCAAGCCTCGCATACGAAGGTTGGAAGTACGATTCAGGATTTGAAACAAATACTTTTCATTCAGAGAGGGTGTGCTGTAGCCATTATGATATTGAGCTACGATTGGAGAGACCAGGGTTCTAATCCAGCCTCGGTTATGGAAGCTCACAGGATAATTTTGGCTAGTCAATCTCTTTTTAACCCAACCTACCTCACAGGGTAGTTGTTGTGGGGAGAAATAAGAGGAGGGGCACCTAGACTCTCCGTTTCAAAAAGGAAGGATATCAATATAATAACTTGATGTTGCAGTATGGCTCATGGGACACAGTAAGCGCCAAAGGGTTAATTCCTTTTATTCTTTCCTCACTTAACTGCTGGGGGGAAGAAAGCTATATTAACATGCAATACAATAAAATGAAGAGGCAGGAAGCTCAAATGAACTTTTTTTTTTTAAAGAGTTTTAAGAAAACCCTAGCTTTAAGCAATACATAGTGCTCATTTTCCCCAGAAGGATTTTGGAATCTATGCAGATAGAGAAAAGAGAAACCAAACAGGGATTTCTTAACAGAAAGTACATATTCAATATGTTCACAAAATATAATATTCTGAATTCTTGTGCAGAACAGATGTCAGCCTTATGCAAATTCCCACAATGCACTATTGTTCCAGTGCTGAGTTTTAGAATCAGCTTCTGCTCAAACCTGAAACTTCTGAAACTTGTTTTTAAACTGCTATGGCAGAGATGAAAGCATCTGGTGAGGTCATCTAGAAACCAGTGTCATACAGTGATGCAGCTAATGCAGCTATTTTATAATGAAACTATGCTGGGTTTTAACGTAGAACAATCTATATTAACCTGTAGCTACGTTCCACAATATGGAAGTAATTGTTTGATAGATCTCTGCAACTCAAAAGCCACTAAAATTTCCCATCTAGATTCATCCCTAATATTTCTCTTCTTACTTCTCCTTGCCGTTATGTTTCCACAATCCCAACTTTTTGATAAGGAAAGCATTGTTACACCCTCCCCAGAACTTGAGTTTCATTTCTGACTCATTCTCCTTTTTTCCCAGCTGTTTCAACCATACCTCCTGCATCTTAAATGTAATGTTGCTGCTTTTGCTATTCTTACAAAGAACATTTTACCTTCTGTAGCATTGCAGTGGGGCTCTCATGCCAGCTGCTTTGGAGTGGAACTTAAAAAAATCTGCATTGCTCAGTTGTCCTTTGACAGCCTGCAGCAATTCAGAAGGGGCGGTGGACTAAGCTTCAAATTGAAACTAAGAACTAGGATGAAATCTTCGATATGTACTTAAAACTGAGGCACAAAGAAGGAAGTTAATCAAGCTCTACCTGTCTGGGGAAAATTAGATAATCTGTCCTACTCAGGGAATTTCAGTCTGCTTTATATTTTCTTTTATTGACTGAATTGGTATCTGCTCATGAGAAAATATGCCTTTACATAGCTATTTGACTAGGCACATAGTTACAATATCCTGGGGATTTATTGCATGATGGACAGCAAGGCAGATTTTACTTCTGCAGACTGGCAGTACCTCACGAGATTTTGGATGTTATTAAAGAGTAGCATATTATAGATATTTAAAAATCGTAAGTGTTGTATGAGGGGAGGCTCTGAAATAAGATTTATATATCTTATTAACCTATGGCTAAATTTTGATGCATTTACTAAGTTATGGTTTAATTATAGTATGTCAATTGGCTAGGTTCAAGCAACATGTTTAGCTAAGCAAACCACACATTATAGTTTCATACCAAAAATGGAGCAGCTCCTTTTGCGAAAGCTATTAAGTCTTTATCATACAGTTACATATCTTAACATTTTACTTAGAAAAACACACAACCTGTTTTGTATAAGCTGGACTAAGTATAAGCTGGACTAAGTTGGGAAGTGGGAAACAAAAGTTGTGACATTATGTTTAATTACATAATAATTTTCTTTTTGGTATGAAACAATTAAGAGGATTGGTGAAAATCCAGACATCAGCTAACTTGGTGGTTTAGTCAAGGCAGCCGGCCAGGCAGAGTGAGGTTCTGCAGCTTCTCATTAGCTGTGCATAGGCCACTAGTACACTTTCTGCTATTGAAAATAAACGGAGGGGGAGGAAATTAGAAGGCAGTCAAGATTGCACACTGAGCTGTGTCAAACCAAACCACGTTAGGACCATGTGGAGCAGGGGTGTCAAACTCACAATGTCCCGTGACACAGATTTTTTTCCCATTGCCGGCAATGGGGTGGGTGCAGTTTTGCCATGACGCATCTGGCCCACGGACCAGCAGTTTGACACCCCTAGTATGGAGGAATGTATAAGAAGCCCAGTCCTGCTATTGACAGCAATGCTTAGTTGGTTGTTGCTGGCAAGCTGGGCAATGAACTTTAATTATTTCAGTACTTCTCTTAAAGAGAGGTGCAACCACTGGGCCCTAAAAAAGCAGCCACCAAATTCAAAATATGAATTTGATTAAAAAGGAGAAAAGTGTTTAATTTATGGGGGTAATTGTATGAACTATATTTACTTTTGGTTAAATGAAAGGAAGTTTTCCCCTTGCCCTGTCCACTTCTTTGTCCTTGCCCCATTCTCAGTATGTCATGCTTGGCTTTAAAAAGCTTGAATGTTCCTACTTGAAACTCAACATCTAGTCAACAATTCTTAGAGATTTGTTGGGGGGGAGGGGAGGAGTGATAAATGCAGAAAGAGAAGCACCAGTTTGGATTTATACACTATACTAATCCATAGTTTATATAATCATGTGTTTGGTTTATTGAATAAACTAAAATAGCATGACTTAGTTTGTGACATGGGTCCAAGCACTGTAGTCCTGAGAGTCTGTTCCAGGCACAGAAAAGAAAAATTAGGCTAGGTTTGTACAGTATTCTAGGCCAGTAGTGGCCAGAGGCAGCACTCGGAGCCCTCTCTGTGGGCACATGTGCCGTTGCCCCAGCCTTGCCTCCCCCCACGACCCCCTCATCTCCAGCATCCCCCCTGAAGGAGACTCGCCCTCGAGCGTGGCCCACACGGAGCAGCGCAGCCAAGGACATGGCAGCCAGGCAGCGTAGACAAGATTCTGCCCTCACATCCCATCACGCAGTTGATGCTGCAGGGCGCGGGCAGAGGGTGTGGCCGCCATAGCGCTGCTGGGCTGCCTGGGCGATCTGCGGCGGGCCCTGGAGGCAGTGAGTGGTCCTATGGGGGGGCAGAGCGGGGACGGGCAGGGGGGTGGAGTGGGGGCGGGGCCAGTTTTTGGGCACTCGGTCTCTAAAATGTTCGCCATCACTGTTCTAGGCTAAACTCTAGAAGACTAATCTGTAACTCACTGGCTCACAAAGTGCTTATCCCCAATCAATCCAGATGACTCACTGAACTATAAACTGAACTACATGGGCTGGATTTTCATAGTATACTAAATAAAGTTGGCTCGTGTTGTACCAACATATCTAATGGGGGTATACAAATCAGGCAAGTGGATTAGAATGTTTTGGGGGCCAATCTTGAAATATTGCAGAACTCAAATTGCAAAAGACTCCTGGCTGCCTACTTCCATCCAGAGCACAGAAGCTGGTGGAATACCCTCTGGCAGCCAAAGCCAAAAAAAATACACTGTGGTCTAAGCAACAGCCTTTGTCCAGAAGTGTAAATTGGTTATCATTAGAATTTGATTAATAACCATGTCAGAGTTTGTTAACTGACCCTTTTCCAACAGCCCATTGGAAGACTTGGGACAGAGCATCTATGGAAATCAGGACTTGTGAGAAGATGGCGGAGTGAATCTGATCTTTGCTTTTTCAGTAATTTTTCTTACTTAAAGTCCATAGAGCTCAACAGTACACTACTGATATTATAAGTTTGATAGGT